AAATAAATAAATAAATAGGGGAGATTAGAGCAGAGAAATGAAGATACGTTTAGTATTTTAAAAGGTAGGAACTGGCAAAATACTAGAACGGAGAGACTTAAAATGCTTCTTCAAATGAATTCCACTGCCACCATTCCAGTAATAATCAGGCTGAGGTAATATTGTGAGTTTGTTCTGTAATGCTAACTGTATCACTATAGTTTCTTAGTGGCTACTGTGAAGCTGACTTTAGCAATACTTTGACCACACGGGTACTCACACTGAGGCTGGGATAAGTTAATGAAAGAACAAGAATGTTTATTGAACAAGCTTGAAATAATTCAGGTACAAATGCTTAATGGTTTCAGAAAATACTGGCATGAATAGCTTGTGGTTGCGTTAGAGTAAAATCTTAAATTCTTCTGGGTTACAAGTCTTCAAAGTTCCACCACAGAAAATTACTTCAGGAAATTAATCTCTCAAAGTAACTCCCAAAAATGCCCCTTAGGATTCCAGCCTGACCAAACTTCCCTAGGAATTGAACAGTCCACTAACTGGGCCCTGCTCCACAACAGTATTCTAGCTATCTCCTAATAGCTACTCTGAATACCTCACAAAAGACTAACCCAATCTTCTTCTCTAAACCCAAACTTGCTCTGACTAACACCAACTCTCCAACTGCTCTCTAACACCCAAACTCCAACTCCAACTGACTAACTGGGACTCCAAGCCTCTGTTTTAAAAGGACACTTTTTTCCTCTAGACCACTTAGGCTCCGCCCCATCTTTCTAGCCAATCCTAGCCTCCTTATTTTCCCTCTAAGACTTGTACACACCCCCTCAAGCAAAATCTAACTAAAATGGCTTCTCCCTGGCTCCCTTTTCTAAAATGGATGCAGTGGCTTCACCAGGCCCACTCCTTAGGCTTCAGCCAGCCAGCTAAGGTAAGGGATTCATTACACACCTCTTCCAAAATCTGGTTGCATAATAATCAAGCTATTTCAAAGAATGGGACATTATTTTTAAAATGTTCATACATACTGACATCCCTTTTGTTAATGAATAAGGCATCATCCTGGGGACGCGTGGCTCGAGAGCAGAACGTGTGAAAAAGATCTTGGAGTTCATGTGGACAACAAGTTAAACATGAGACAACAATGTGATACTGCGGCAAAAGCCAACAGGATTTTGACCTGCAGCAATAGGAGTTTAGTGTTAAGATCCAGGAAAGTCATGCTACCCCTCTATTCTGCCTTGGTTAGACCACACCTGGAATATTGTGTCCAATTCTGGGCACCACAATTGAAGAGAGATATTGACAAGTTGGAATGTGACCAGAGGAGGGTGACTAAAATGATCAAGGGTCTGGAGAGCAAGCTCCATGAGGAGCGGCTTAAAGAGCTGGGCATGTTTAGTCTGAAAAAGAGATGGCTGAGAGGTGACATGATAGCCATGTATAAATAAGTGAGAGGAAGTCACAGGGAGGAAGGAGCAAGCTTATTTCTGCTTCCCTGGAGACTAGGACACAGAACAATGGCTTCAAACTACAAGAAAGGAGATTCCATCTGAACATTAGGAAGAACTTCCTGACTGAGAGCCATTCAGCAGTGGAACTCTCTGCCCCGGAGTGTGATGGAGGCTCCTTCTATGGGGGCTTTTAAACAGAGGCTGGATGGCCATCTGTCAAGGGTGCTTTGAATGTAATTTTCCTGCTTCTTGGCAGGGGATTGAACTGGATGGCCCATGTGGTCTCTTCCAACTCTATGATCCATCAGAGTCCGGGGAGTGTGCGGATGAGCTCCTTCTATCAGCTCCAGCTCTCTATGCAGGGACATGAGAGAAGCCTCCTACAAGGATGGTAACGCATCGAAAACATCTGGTTGTCCCCTGGGCAATGTCCTTGCAGATGGCCAATTCTCTCACACCAGAAGCAACTTGGAGATTCTTAAGTCGCTCAAAAAATAAATAAATAAAAATCTGTCAGAGTGTGTATCTATTTAGGGTTCTGCATCATATGGGGTCAGAAACTTGGAATGGCCTTCCAGATGGGCCCTATATCCCAGGATCTGCTTTAAACTGGATTATATGAGTCCACACTGCCAGATAATCTGGGATCAGATCCTGGGATATAGGATCTATCTGGAAGGCCCCTAAAGCCTCTTCTATACTGCCAAATAAAATCCAAATTATCTTTCTTTGAACTGGATTATATGGCTGTGTAGACTCTGAGCACCACCTCCCAGAGTCAGACTCTTACCTTTACCTATCTAAATCTTGGTGGACAAATAGTTTGAAAACGTAAGAAAGCAGGCTTCTTTTCTTTATTTTCTTTAAGGTTTCCTCATATCATAGATGTTGACAACTACAGGATAACTTTAAAACAAGCATCCCTGTTGCCTGGTCTTGTGTTACAAGGTGAGCAAACGGGTGCCATTTCTATTCCTAATTAAAATAGAGCTTTCTCACAAACTTGGAAATCCCCAGGTGTACTGTTTTTACAGATTTGGGGGGCTTTCCAGATATTGAGCAAGCCTGGTATTCACAGCTGAAATGTTATTCTCAGCAAATTCTATCCATGCAGACACTGGTTTCTAAGTGGTCTGGCTAATACAAGTATAGAGGAAGTCTGGATGAAGCAGTGCCTTCAACTGGAAATGTACATGATGCCAATTTAATTGAAAGCAAGAGTCCGCAAGGATCTTTGTTGATTCAGAGGAATCATACATTACATATACGAAATACATTCGGAAAGTCCAAAGATAGCCGTACAGAAGGTGGAGGAGAAGGGGAGGTAGGAAAAAATGGGAAGGGCATAGGTGGAAGAAGATACTGAAAAAACAACACAGACACAACAGAAAAGAAAGGAGAGAGCTCAAGAAGGAACATGCAGCCACTTCATATTATCTTTCTTTTTTCTTTACTCTTTTGTTTGCTTTGCATTGAATGTTTGATGCAGTCCTAAGTTTCAGGGACTCTGCAGATAGGTGACTTCTTTTGGCTGCAATCATAGGGCAAGCCACCTGTCAATTATAGTTAGGTTCGCTGGTCCTGCCCCCTTTTTGGGTTTTGGAGGGAATAGGAGCCAATTTGGGTTCAGTGCACACAGAGAAGCCTTTCATGCAGGACATAATACGAAGAGCTCCTGTAGAAAACTTCGTCTTCTATGGCTTGGCCGGGGAGATATACAGCCCACAGCTTGGCCGGGGTTATACAGCCCTACAGCTTCTTTGCTGAGGGACTTCAGCCAGCCATCACCGAAACCTGAACTCCTTTTCCCCCTGGAAGTCTACAAAGCTCTGCTTGGTAAGGGTCACTCGCGGAAGCCAGAAGTAGTTGGTACCGGGTGCAGGGGCTCCACGCCAACAGAGGCAAAGACAGACTGCCCAAATTAGAAGTTAAGGATTTCCCCATTAGTTACAGTTATGAAGATAGTGCCTGTTCCCTGTGGACAAGATTGAGAGTGAGCCAATAGACTGCTAAGAAAGCCTTTAAGTACCTGTTTGTTTTCATTAATAAAGAACTTTATTGAACATTTAAGCAATCTAAAGACTCTGTTTTAAGGAAATCCAAAGGCCTTTAATCTGAGGCAGCCCCGGCGTCCCGCTGGGCACACAGAATTTATGTCCTGTCTACAGTCTTATGCACAGGCCCAGCGTGCGACGGCACAATAACAACACAGTAAAATACATACAACATTTGATTACAAAGACGATAAAGCAAAATCATACACAGTAAAATAAAATAACATAACATAACAATGAGCGGGCTGCATGTGCAAGATAAAAACTAAGATACTAAAAATACTAAAATCAGGATGAGATAAGGATGGAGCAGATTGTGGGGGAGAAACTCATACTGAGTACTGTGCGTCGTTGGGCGAGTAAGTTTAAAGATATTGAGGTGAAACATCTGACTTGCGTGAAAAAGAGTTGGACATCCTGTGACAGCAACCACCGARTTTCACAAGCAAAAGGTTGACAGATTGATTCAGGACGATCGTCGTTTCACTCAGAGAGAAATTTCAAGCATAATCGGCATTTCACAAGAACATGTGGGTCACATTATTGCTTTGCTTGGCTATCGGAAGATCTGAGCATGATGGGTTGCAAAAACGTCTTCTGTGAYGGCTTCAGAAAACTTGCTAATTGTTGGCAGAAATGTATCCAATTGTCTGATGATTATGTAGAAAAGTGAATAGTGGTAGTTAAAGAGCACATTCTAAGGGTTATTTCTGCATTTGATTTATTAAAATATTCCCATCCAAACCCAAGTAATGAAGGTAGATGCATTACTTTTTCATTCAACCCTCGTATATAAATAAAAATGTAATCTTGCTTTGTGGGATTAACATAACTCAAAAACCACTGGATGATTTGACACCAAATTTGGACACAATACACCTCTAAGGCCAATGAGTGACTATCACTCATAAAAAACACTGAAAAACACAATGGAAGAGAYTTAAAAAGCCAAAAAACAAAAATTACATTACAACACATGCGCAAAGACACATATATATGCGCAAATAGACATATACTCATATACACAAACATATACACACACAAAATACATATATACAGACTGGGCCACAGCAACACATGGCAGGGGACAGATAATAATARTAATAATAATAATAATAATAATAATAATAATAATAATAATAATAATCTTTATTTATATTCCGCCCTATCTCTCTGAAAGGACCCAGGGTGGATTCCAAACATAAAAGGCAAACATTCAATGCCTGACTACAACAACAATATATCCATACTAATAGAATTTAACCAACCCAACATATAAACACATATTATGACTTAACAACTAAAATTAAATAAAAAACCCAGCCTGTTATAACAGACATAAAAC